TCAAGTATTGCAGGAGATGATCCTCCCGCCAGCTGTGTGTTTAGTCAAGTTATGAACATGGCAGCCTTCCTAGGTAAGAAGAGCATCAAGAATGCTTTATGCACTCTGGAACATTCCTTTTTTATTTTAAATTCTCCCAAACCCAAACCAAAACAATGGTGGGTTTACTTCGTAATACAGAATTATATCATGTCAATATGCTGAAGCCAGCTTTGTGTTTTCAGGATCATGTTTTCTTATAGATCCTTTTACGTTCACTCTGCTTTCCTGACATTTTTTTCTTCCCTTTACCATTTTTATGATTTCAGCCTACTCTTGACCTTATTTTTTTTTTGCTTCATGAAATAATATATTTCACGTACCGTAAAATCCTGCATGAAAATGTAATATTTGTGCAATATGTTTGCTTTGAAAGGAATGCCTTACTCCTTCACTGGCAAAGATGAACAATGCATAGACTCTCTGATATGTATTGATGTAAACAGATATTATTGTTAAACCTGAAAGCCAACAGTAACATGAGGGTGACACTCTCTCCTGTACCTATACACGTATCAACCTGGTAAATGGAGAAGCGGGCTTTAAAAAAAAAAGAAGGAAGGAAACATTGGGTGATCATATCTGGCACCAACTTCCCACTTTGTCTTCAGGCCCTGGGACTCTCATTTAACGTCCTGTCCCCTGGATACCGAGAGGGCTTCCCTGACGCTGCTGAGTCTTCGGACTCAGTGGGAAACAGCCCTGCTCTCTGTCCTTTTTCTCATCCACCTCGTACACCATCTCCTCAAGACCAGGCTTCCCGGTGCCTCGCACAGGGTCAGCCAGCTGTCATTGCTGCCATGCTGTCGGGAGAGCACTGGTGGCAGCTCAGCCTTTCCACAGAAGTATTGTGGAAATGGTCCTTTGGACGGTGAGACTTTCACTCCAAGTAAGAGATAAAGATAACGTTATTACTGAGGGGGTATTTGGCCTTTGTGGCACCTGTGCCCAAAGAGGTGGCCTGCTGTTCCCTCCCCCACAAAGAACAATTCCTGCTCTTCGTGTGTTCTTTTTTAGTGTTTGCTATAGAAAAGGGAAGATCTGGAGGACTCACTGGGACAATCAGGGGAGATGGCTGGTCCAACATGCAACACAGGCAGAATCTTAGTTGCTTCAGAAAGCTCAGAACATGGGAGCCACGGAGAACGTTTCCTCCTGGGCCCAAGAGGTCTTTCTAGAACCTGTGAGATTCAAAGAGAAGCGCACTGGAGGCTTCTCCGCAGTTTGCAAGATCCTTCCCTGGAGCTAACCACGTTTTGGTGGAAGCCTTTGCTACCCAGGCTTCCCCAGAGCACGTCCCATTCGCCAAGGCGGGAAGGCGCAGGCTGCTGCGCCACCGCTAAGGAGAAGGCTAAATATACCCCAGCGCTGGGGTTGCGGAATCTTTAAAAAAGCTTTTCTCCCCGTGCCCTTGGCAATCGGGATAGTCCCATCGCAGACGGTCACCAGCATCGGGAAGGACCGCACTTGGGCAGCTGGAGCACACGTGGGCTCCACTCCTAGCAGTCACGTGTGGTTGTCGCGGCCTTCAGCCTCAGAGCCGCCAGGAGCTTTGTGCTCTCGCCTTTTGTCTACTCTTGACACCATTCCTCCAAAAAGACCTTGTAAATTTACTCATGCCGGGACATAAGTAGCTGCTGAGGAATATTTGCATTTAACAGAGCGCAAAGCCCCAGCAGTGAAGCTGCCATGGAGGGTCAGGGGCCTTTCCCGGCCCCTCTGCAACCACAGCACGTCGACCTGCAGGTTGGCACCTGCCGCTGTGGTCGTCCCACGGGGCGCAATGACAGTGATTAATAGCCATCATGTATATTCCAGGCACGGCGCTGGGTGCTTTGTAAATACTACCTCATTTAATGGCAATACTCAGGAGCCTGGATATAAAAATGCTCTCACAAGCTGTCTGTCCTCCGCTGGGCTCTAACGAAACCAGGGAACATGTTGGAAGCCACATGCTGTTTCCTTTATATTCTTAAGACAATTGACAGTTCCCAGCAGTCTTTAATGTATAATCTAAAAAATACTAGTTTGCGCAGCTCACATGTTTGTCCAGTTATAAAGCTTAACTAATTATAAACACATTTCCAGAAACGAAACGATGAAAGCAAACACCCCTCTTCCAGATGACATTTGTCCTCATCTTAGCCTCCAGCCCTTCCCGCTCCTCCAAGAAGCAATTGAGCTTTTACTAGCTCTGGCTCTGAGGGATTGCGACACCCGGTGTTTATTCTGTGTTATCCTTCGTCCTTTTTAGCGCCATCTGGTCGACACCAAACTGATTGAGGTTGGTGTTCCATGGGAACAAACCCACAGTTATTTATTTATCAACTCTGGGAGTGAAAAAGATTCAGTTTATTAAAGATTCTTGCTCTGAACTGTGGATGCTTTTGTCTGCTCAGGGCTGTGAGACCTCAGACTATGACTTTAGACTAAATAACCAGTTTGGAGAAAGAAGCCCCCTGCCTATAAGTCACTGCTTTTTGGCAGCCACATAGATTATCATTTACAATCTAAAAATGAGTCTGTGTCACATTTATTGAAATTACTTAGCAAAGATCTCCTATCATTTTTGACGAACTAATCAAAGATTGGATGCTCAATTATTTTCTTTACAGAATTAGTT